GGTAAATTGGCCCTGATTTCTCCTTTATATTGTCTGAATATATAAGATACTAACATTCTCAATTAGCTTGGAGATGCTTATCCACATACATATTTCCTACAGCATAATTTACATGGGTCTCCTCACTTGCACCTTGCTCCTCCTCATGAAGTCTTCTGTCATAACCTCAGAATGTACAAATGAGCTGCCAAGAATAGCAAGGTCCATAGGTGCTTGTCACCTGCCTAGTGCCCTGGAGGGGACACTGGGCAGAAATGCCAGAGGGTTCTGAACCACCCTCTAAGGGCCTCTTTGGAGAACAGGGAGATGAGTGAAAATTGAAACATTCTGTCTGTAGAGAGAATTACCTCTGTTTCTTCAGTCATTCAGGGCAGTGACAACCGAAAATGTTACAGAAGTGCTATTCTCCATACATTCCGTTCAAGGCTTCCCTCTCTTGATGCTTAGTTACCTGCAGAACTTCAGACCTGTCTCAGGAAACCTTGGTGGAGAAACGCATTTCAAAAGTCCATTTTCCTTGTTACTGCTTTGAGTAAAGAATCATTTACCATTGCCAGCGTCTCAGTGAATATGTTTTTTACATGCTCAACAATGTTCTTTAGAGGGTAAAAATCTCAGGGGGTTATTTTATAGGAGGTTATTTTATCCTCCTATTTTATAGGAGGATATAGCCTTAGAGTATTTTTGGCATGGTCCTAGCCATCTTTCTATACCATTGTCTGAAGATTAAAAGTATGTTTCATGTGGTCTTTCCCCTTATTTTGGCATTAACTTTTCTCTTATTCTTGGTATTCTAAAATTTCACAGCAACACAAATTTGAAGTATTTTTTTCCCTTGGTGTTGAATACTCATGCCCTTTATTTTTCAGAGTATTCTTGAAATATTTCTTTTAATTTTCTGTTTCTTTCTTAACATCTGAACTTTCTTCATCTAATTGTTGACCTCCATTATGAAGATTTTATTCCTTTAATGGTCTCACCTCTCTCGTCCAATGTCCTCCTTACTGACCAGGCAATATGTGTGATCCCTTATAGCAATGGTGGAGCAAAAGTAGAGGAATGTGTCTTGAAATTCCTGCTGGTGGGTTTTCTAAGAGATGTCCATTTGACTAAGACATCCCAGCAAAGATCTACTCTCCCATAAACTACGTTCGAAGGGAGAAGACGGTTGTAGAGGTAGAAGATTGTCCTTAATAGCAGATCAGGGACCTGTCATTGAATGTATCTGTCTGTCCCTACAGAACACTCATTCTCATAGGACCCAGGATGGATGGTCGTCAGCCACTGGCCACAAGGTGGAGTGGATAGTGGCTCTTAGTTAGCCTGAGAATAGCCACATCAGGAGAGAAGGCTCTAGGTGTGCTGAGAAAGGTAGGGAGATTTGCCTTGCTTGTTTCCTGTAAATCTTAAATTTTAGATGTAATGTCTCCTTTAAAGTAAAATATCTCACTGCTGTATTGTGGTAAACAAAAATTCTGTAGGATGTCACAGTACCCCAGCCTCTGCAGACATCTCCACCTATTCCAGAAGAATGACAGTGGTCCTAGGTTTTCCACTAAGCAGGAAAAGTACAGACTAGTCCTAGTACAGTAAGTCTATTCCAATTCCATTGCTTATATCTGACATTCTTCTTGTGATGGTGTCTTTTTCCTCTCCTGAGAAGAGACTCCTTATAGATTCCTCTTCTCATTCAGAATTGTCCCCATCTTGCCTCTCAGTTGTCTGCCAGAATCAAATACCTTAGAATTCTGATTACTGGTGATTCATTTGCTTTCATTCTACTTCTTTGGGTAATTTTGTTTTCTTTCCAAATACATTTCTTTTCCCTCCAAGAATGTAACACTGTTATCTAAAATTGAGTCTGACTTGAATGTAATGTTTTCCAAAAATTGATACTGTAGATTTCTTCCATAGATTTCCTTTCTACATTGCAGTGGATTGATTGCTGAAGTTTAAGGTTTCCATTCATGTGTGAATATTTTAATGTCAGTTACTTCTTTTCTAATAGTATAAAATTCATTACATTCTTTTTTTTAGGAAACAAAAGAATTTTTATTTATTTTTAAAAGTTTTTTATGAAGTATAGTTGATTTACAATGTTGTGTTAATTTCTGCTGTACAGCAAAGTGATTCAGTTATACATATGTATATACATTCTTTTTTTTAAACATCTTTATTGGAGTATAATTGCTTTAATATTGTATGTTAGTTTCTGCTTTATAAGAAAGTGAATCAGCTCTATGTATACATACATCCCCATATCTCCTCCCTCTTGCGTCTCCCTCCCACCCTCCTTATCCCAGCTCTCTAGGTGGTAACAAAGCACGGAGCTGATCTCCCTGTGCTATGCAGCTCCTTCCCATTAGCTATCTGTTTTACATTTGGTAGTGTATATATGTCCATACCACTCTCTCACTTCGTCCCAGCTTACCCTTCCCCCTCCCCGTGTCCTCAAGTGCATTCTCTACGTCTGCGTCTTTATTCCTGTCCTGCCCCTAGGCTCTTCAGAACCACTTTTTTTTTTTTTAGATTCTATAGATATGTTAGCATACGGTATTTGTTTTTCTCTTTCTGACTTACTTCACTCTGTATGACAGACTCTATGTCCATCCACCTCACTACAAATATCTCAATTTTGTTTCCTTTTATGGCTGAGTAATATTCCACTGTGTCTATGTGCCACATCTTCTTTATCCATTCATCTGTTGATGGACACTTAGGTTGCTTCCATGTCCTGGCTATTGTAAATAGAGCTGCAATGAACATTGTGGTACATGACTCTTTTTGAATTATGGTTTTCTCAGGGTATATGCCCAGTAGTGGGTTGCTGGGTCGTATGGTAGTTCTATTTTTAGTTTTTTAAGGAACCTCCATACTGTTCTCCATAGTGGCTGTATCAATTTACATTCCCACCAACAGTGCAAGAGGGTTTCCTTTTCTCCACACCCTCTCCAGCATTTTTGTTCATAGATTTTTTCATGATGGCCGTTCTGACTGGTGTGAGATGATATCTCACTGTAGTTTTGATTTGCATTTCTCTAATGATTAATGATGTTGAGCATTCTTTCATGTGTTTCTTGGCCATCTGTATATCTTCTTTGGAGAAATGTCTATTTAGGTCTTCTGCCCATTTTTGGATTGGGTTGTTTGTTTTTTTGATATTGAGCTGCATGAACTGCTTGTAAATTTTGGAGATTAATCCTATGTCAGTTGCTTCATTTGCAAATATTTTCTCCCATTCTGAAGGTTGTCTTTTTGTCTTGTTTATGGTTTCCTTTGCTGTGCAAAAGCTTTGAAGTTTCATTAGGTCCCATTTGTATATTTTTGTTTTCATTTCCATTTCTCTAGGAGGTGGGTCAAAAAGGATCTTGCTGTGATTTATGTCATAGACTGTTCTGCCTATATTTTCCTCTAAGGGTTTTATAGTGTCTGGCCTTATATTTAGGTCTTTAATCCATTTTGAGTTTATTTTTGTGTATGGTGTTAGGGAGTGTTCTAATTTCATTCTTTTACATGTAGCTGTCCAGTTTTCCCAGCACCACTTACTGAATAGGCTTTCTTTTCTCCATTGTATATTCTTGCCTCCTTTATCAAAAGTAAGGTGACCATATGTGCGTGGGTTTATCTCTGGGCTTTCTATCCTGTTCCATTGATCTATATTTCTGTTTTTGTGCCAATACCATAGTGTCTTGATTACTGTAGCTCTGTAGTATAGTCTGAAGTCAGGGAGCCTGATTCCTCCAGCTCCGTTTTCTTTCTCAAGATTGCTTTGGCTATTCAGGGTCTTTTGTGTTTCCATACAAATTGTGAATTTTTTTGTTCTAGTTCTGTGAAAAATGCCAGTGGTAGTTTGATAGGGATTGCATTGAACCTGTAGATTGCTTTGGGTAGTATAGTCATTTTCACAATGTTGATTCTTCCAATCCAATTCATTGTAGTTTTGATTTGCATTTCTCTAATGATTAGTGATGTTGAGCATCCTTTCATGTGTTTGTTGGCAATCTGTATATCTTCTTTGGAGAAATGTCTATTTAGGTCTTCTCCCCATTTTTGGATTGGGTTGTTTGTTTTTTTGATATTGAGCTGCGTGAGCTGCTTGTAAATTTTGGAGATTAATCCTTTCTCAATTGTTTCATTTGCAAATATTTTCTCCCATTCTGAGGGTTGTCTTTTCATATATCAGTGACTACATTTCGAATGGTGTACACTTAGCTCTATGGACACCCTCTTCTCCTTCCAGGAATACACTTCATTATATTCCTATTTACTTAGGAGTATTAGTTTATGATCAGTGATATCCTTTTTGTTAGTGAATCTTGTCCACACTCCTTGAGCTTCTAAGAAATGTCAGTCACTTGAATATGAGCAAATATTGCTCATCTGTGGAGGGAAGAGTTTATTCCACACTGTGACATTGCACCTCCTCCTGCAGCCCCAAGCATTCTAGTGAAGCCTGTACTAGGAGTTGCTGCTTTCCATTTAACCTCCTAGGATTGAATCTGAAGGACGTGTGAGATGGGTTTGAAACCCTTCTGCTGCTGCACTGCCTGCATTGTCTCACCTGAGGGCAGACTTGGACTAGTGACTGTGCTGACTGACCAAGATGAAGCCTCCCATAACTATTTTGCTTTGACTGCTCACACAGGTTTTATTTTGGGGTGTCGCTGTCATCCTGCCAGCCCTGCTGGACACAGTCTAGGCCATCCTTTAACACTTGTCTGCCTGAACCTCTTGTTCTTGATGTGTCAGAAGGGCTCCTTTCCATCCAAGAGTATTTGTGAAGGTCCAGGTGAGGTTTTTCATCTTTTTGATGCCCTGGAAGAGAGTTTAGCTCCAATATATTTCTAGACATGGCCACTGGCTGTTGATTACAGGGTAGTATTTATCATGGGTCCAGACCCATGTTTCTTCCCTAAATCTGACAGATACATGGAGTCTTTTATCAGTTGAATTTCTGCTTTGGCCACCTTCATTAATCTGTCCTATGTTGCCTGATCTAGGAGAAGACTGGAGAGAACTGGCCTGAGGAGGGGATCTTAGAAGAGTCCATATCCCCATAACTCACCTTGCAGTATCGTGTTTGTTCCTCTGGGGTCAACCAGAGTGACCATGCTTTCCCTGCTGTACCTTCTTCGCTAGGATCAGGTAATTAATCCATACTACATGACCAGGACTTATGCCTGACCTTCAACATCCTGCCTTTTAAAAGGTGGTGGTACTGCCTCCCTCTTGAATGTCTTCAATACTGAGGCCAGAGTGACCACCAATAGAATTAGCAGAGAGAAATGAGAGGGGTGCCTGGAGTGTTCTTCCTGCTGTATTTTCTAAGAGGTATCAGTGTGCTGGGATGTCCCCCAAAAGGCTAATTTTGCATTTGTGGACCTAAGCTGCATTTGAAGGGGGAAGAATTTCCTGGAAGTCAATGACTGAAACCTCCAGATCAAGGGCCAGAGAGTGGGTATGTCTCTTGGTCCCTCCAGTGCATGCAATTCCCATTTGCTCCAAGTTCTATAGGCTTCAACACCAGTCACACAGATGGAGTGGAAAGTGGCTCAGAGTTAGAGTGATAATGTCAGGTCTGGTTGAGAGATGGTTCCAGGTAGTTTCAGACAGGTAGGGGAGGTTAAAGTTAGTCTTGCTCTTTCCTGTGATTCCGAGTTCATGTGATGTCTTCTTTCATCACTTGCCTTGAACTTTATTTCTATCATTTTTCTTCCTCCTGACTCTCTACCCCCATCACTCATGTCGATGAAAGAATAGGTAACAGTTCTCATTTTTGAAATAGAAAGGGAGAACTGAATGTCTTAGTTTGGATCTCTTAATCCTGAGTAGACGTAGACTACTTCACACATACTTTATTTGGATGTCTTCCCAGGTAGCCCACAGGTCGGAGAAGTGAATGTGAGACTGGATGGCGAGATCAGCCACTAATGGGAATGGCATTGAGCTGTTACCTCTTCCTGTGTCACATTTGCAGTGGGGCCCTTCTGCAGAACCACGTAAAATGCATCACAGGATGTCCTCCCTGGAAGGACAGGAGTCCAAGGATTCACCCACCAACTCCATCCACCCCATTGGTTGAGGTAATTCCATCCCTGCACATTTGTCAAGGACTTTGTGCTTTGAGCTGAGCTCTCTCAGAAGACTTTGGGGAAAGCTTTAGGACAAAACCTGACACATAGCACAACAGGGTCACCTGGTAGACTCTGGGCACCCGTGTGGTGCTGTCCTCCACAGATGTGCTGAAAACAAGGTCACGGAGCACCCTGTTCTGACGCACACCCACCATTCCAGAAGAATGCTGGAGTTCTGTTCGTCCATGCCAAGCTGTCCGTGGTGTTGGGGCAGTGTCTAGAGCAGGAAGGTAAGGGAGCAGGGGTCTCATTTCCAATCCCTCAAGTCATCATGAACCCACATCCCTAGGAGTGGCCTCCTGAAATGCTTATGCTGGGTGACTGAGGCTCTTACCTGCAACAAGACTGTCAGTTACGGTGGGAAACACCCAGAAAAATAGAAAAGATGACTACATCATTTAAAGATGAAAAAACCTTTAAAAGAGTTCTGAGGCATCTCTCAAACACACAATCCTGATCAGCACAATCAGGAGTTCAGCGTGGGAGAGCCTCTTCCTGTTAACTGTTGGGATGACAGCACTGTCTTTGTTTCTCCAGACACTGAGCATCTGGGGACCCCGTGGCCAGGAGGAGTGGGTCTGTGGGAGCAGTTAGATGACACCACTTGTGCCCCTGGGCCCACCCAGGATTTTAGCCGTTTACCCTTCTTGGGATGTGCCATCAGGTGGAGGCACATTCTCTCCCATAGAATGACAAGGATGTCCTTGTGTCCTCTGTACCAACATCTCAAACAGTATCTTTCAGGGAGGAAGAATTTCCTCTTCCATTCATTCTGTAGTTCAGGAAGTCTCCTCTCCACCTTAATTGTTCATACAAGGAGCAGTTTGCATTAGTACTCAACCACATTATCCTTGTTTGGATTTGGTGCCCTCCTCACCTGCTCCTTATTTTTGCATCCTTCCTGCTCTTTATTAAGGAAGGGACTTTGATGTTCCTCCTGTCCTTGATAGGAAGCTTCACTGAATAGGATCTGGAAATTTTAAGCCTTGAGATTTTCACTGCTGAAAGTTGTTCAGAATTTTCCCTTGGTCATATATTTTTTGACATCCCACCCCCATCCCGCCGACTAACTTTCATGAAAGTATATTAACTTAGGAAGAAGAAACTGGCTTTGGGGGAGGGGCAGCATCGGTGAAGAGACCTGCTTTCCTCCTCTCTCAAGCACTATTCTCCTCCACTGAAGAGGCAGTGAGGCTTACTCTCTTTCCCCCCAGTTATAGGAGACTACTTTTGTGTGAAACCTTTAAAAATGGAGTGTGTCTGGAAGGTGGGATGGGCAGAGTGTGCTTTGTTTTCAGTTGGAGTTCTATCTTGGAAGCCTCTTTTTCTAATCTGTTTTGTGCTGCCTGATCCAGGAGAAGACTTTACAAGTAGCTGTCCAGGAGAGGGGCCACTGGGAAAGAGCTTATATTCCTGTAGCTTACTTACACAGGCACATATGATCATTCATAGTCAAATAAGATGATTTACCTGGTTTATTTCAATTAGCTAGAGTCACATAACTACATGCTGACCATTGGGTGAGAGGGGAAGTCATGTCTGACCTTTGGGATCATGCCCTTTAAAAGGGTATGGCTTCCTCTGCTCCATTAGCCTTGCTACTGACTGAGGCCAGGAGTGAATCCTCTAGGAATAGCAAAGCAGAGTCAGCGGAGTGTCCCCTGAGTGTTCTTCCTGGTGCATTTTTCTAAGTGATGTGCACTGAGTTAGAAAGTCCCAGCAAAGAGCTGCTTGCTATCATGGACCTAACCTACATTTGATGGAAGGTGTTTCTGGGGTGGAGCAGGGTGCTTGTAATATGCAGATCAGGCAAAACATACAGTGTCCATGTTCGTCCCTCCAAACACCCACTGACTTTGTTTCCTGAGATGCATGGTTTTCCGACACCAGCAGCAAGATAATATTGAAGGTGACTCAGCATTAATTGCAAAATAGCCACCTCTGGGAGAAAGAATTTTGTCTGCCCACACAGGAAATGGAGTTGCCATTGCCTTGTTTTCTTTTGTTTTAAGTTAATTTATTTCATTTATTTATTTTTGGCTGCATTGGGTCTTCGTTGCTGCGGGCGGGCTTTCTCTAGTTGCGGCGAGCAGGGGCTACTCTTCATTGCGGTGCGCGGGCTTCTTGTTGTGGTGGCTTCTCTTGTTGCAGAGCATGGGCTCTAGGCACACAGGCTTCAGTAGTTGTGGCTTATGGGTTCTAGAGTGCAGGCTCACTAGTTGTGGCTCACGGGCTTAGTTGCTCCGTGGCATGTGGGATCTTCCCAGACCAGGGCTCAAACCCGTGTCCCCTGTATTGGCAGGCAGATTCTTAACCACTGCGCCACCAGGAAGCCCCTGCCTTGTTTTCTTGCTGACACTAGGTAAACGGTATCTGAACAACTTATGCTAGTTTGAAAGAACGTAACTTGTCCTATGACATTCCACCTTCTCTGGTGGCTCCCATTATGTCTAATGAGGCTTTACGATCTTCCCATTTGAAGCTCCTATGGTTCAGTCAGAAGGGAGACCATGATTTGGGGCCTGGCCTCACTAGACCCTGTGCTTACATGCTATGGGGAGTTCTTGTAGCTGTTATTGCTTTGACTTCTATACCGAGGTCAGTCTGAGGAGGCGGGGTGAGGGAAACTTTTTTCTTATGGCAAAAGGGTAATCCTTGAGCTCTGGTCTGCTTCGTCTCAAGTCTACCCACCTAAGGTGATGGTAAGTGTCATTCTGTTGAGCACAGTTCTTTGTCAGGATGCACATAGCTAGATCAGAAGCTAAAGTGAAGATTGGTACCACCTATCAGGTGGGACACTGCGGGAGAGAGACTACCTAGGACGCTGGGATCATCTTCCCTGGGGAAGGTGTAAGTTGACTTGTGCAACCCTATGTCTCAGGAAATGGAGACCCATCAAGGTACAGAGAGCCCCAGACATGTCCACTGGCTATCCCATGACGAATTCCAAATAGAGGCACCGTTCCCTTTAGGTACCAGTATACTCAGCTATATCGGGGTCCTAAGGCATCGGGAATTCAAGAACACATGGGGCAAATGTTGGTGGCCTTTTGGGCAAGGGAATCTTTCCTCCCCCACTGAAATAGTCTGCTTCTGATGGCAGCCATTGCTGAATTTTGTGCTGTTACTTTCTCCATTTGACGCAACAGTGCTTGAACAGTTGCTCATCAAGGTTAAATTGAAGCAGTTTCTTCAGGTAAACTATCTGGGTGTGTGGGCTTGTTGAACACAGCTTTCAGAACCCTTCAGCTGTAAAGACTGTATAGCCCAGATGAGCACACTTTGACTTTGCCGACGTGATTCCTTTGGGAGTGCGATAGTTAATTCAGCTGGGTCACTTCTAAGTTTCTGTCTGCCTCAATTTTCTGTCCTGTGGACTGAGTCACAACATTCTTACGTCACATATCCTGTGCCTTTTTTTTCCCCCTTGGGTAGCAGAAAATGTGATTTTCACCAGTCACTGGCTAACTAAAGATCTTCTTAGCAGGGAAAATGACCATCATTAGATTATCTTGTATGGCATGGTTGATGGAATTTTGTGAATGTAACTGGGGTCTAAAATCAGTAGCATTGTATTCGCTGTGAAAAGGGAGATTATACTTAGTGGGCCTGACCTAATTAAGTTCTTTAAAGAGATCCTAAGTCTTCCCTGAGGGAAGAGGTTCCAGTATGAGCAGACTCTCCCCCTTGTGGCTTTGATCAATGTGACAGTCACAAGGAAATGATTCTACCAATAACTGAGGGATCTGGAAGTGGACTCTTGCCTAATCAAGCTTCCATATGGGAATGCAGTCCAACTATGACCTTTGTTTGGCTCTTGTGAGACCCTGAGGAAATCCCAGTTAAGCTGTGCCCAGATGTCTGAGCTCCAGAAACAGTGATATAATGAATGAGTGTTGGTTTTAGCCACTAAGTAGGTGGTACTTTGCTATAGAGCAACAGAACCTAGCACGCTTCCCTAAAACCTTGCTCTGTCTAACCTACCCCAGGAGCCCAGAGCTGTTGATGTGCGGAGTGAGCTGGGTGGCGCTGCCCTCGTGTTTGTGATTATAACTGCACAGGGAGCCCTTCACTGGGACTCAACCCCTCATATAATGACAAGTTAGTGCTAGTGATTTTTCCTTCTCATGTGGATATAGCTTCTCCTCCTCATCTGCCTTCACTCTTTAATGTTGAATGTATTTTGGCGACATCAACATTGTTTCATTAGGGTCCTCCATGAATTATATGGAGAATTTTGTTGCTTTTAGTTCCTGGTTGGTTGGTTGGTCTTAGAATTCCTTTGTCAAAGAGCTTATGAGGACCACTCTACCTCCTAACTTTTTTTTAATTTTTAACATCTTTATTGGAGTATAATTGCTTTACAATGGTGTGTTAGTTTCTGCTTTATAAGAAAGTGAATCAGCTATACATATACATATACATATATCCCCATATCCCCTCCCTCTTGTGTCTCCCTCCCACCCTCCCTATCCCACCCCTCTAGGTGGTCACAAAGCACCAAGCTGATCTCCCTGTGCTATGCGGCTGCTTCCCACTAGCTATCTGTTTCACATTTGGTAGTGTATGTATGTCCATGCCACTCTCTCACTTCATCCCACCTCCTATCTTGCATGAATATAGGTAGATGAAGAGAAAGGTAAATCTCTCTCTGGTCTCCTTACAAATACCATCTTCTGCGATTCCTGCTCTAGATGAGTGTAATAACCACACAGTGAAAAATGGGGCTATATCCTTCCCCGTACATCTGATGGCCACTATGTGGGTTTTTTGTTCCCTGGGTGGACTTCTGCTCAGGTGTCCTTTTTCACTAACCTGCCCTGTACTGCCTGATCCAGATGAAGGATGTGTAGGTAGTTGATGTGAGGAGGGGTTTGCAGAGAGGATCCTGTGTTCCAATGACTTGTCTTGAAGGGGCCCATGAGTTCCCAGAGTCAACCTGAAAAAAT